TCTGTGAACACTTACATCGAATCGCTCTAGAATTTTATTTGTTGAGTAAATATAACTAAAAAGATATTTAAAAGTTTAATATTTAATTTTTAAATGGAAATGACAAATATTATCCGGCAATTTTAATTATTAATATCATTAGTTCATTTTTTCAAAACAATGGTTTTTAATAAAAAATCAAAACCGTTTTTGTGATCTTTCAAATGCAGAAATATTTTTAAAATATAATTCAAGAAATAAAATTAAGCTTTTACTCGATGATATTTATAGCAAATTATTGACTTACATAAAACTAATTGAAAAGAAGAAATAATTAACGTTAAACATTTTTATTTTATTTTGCAGTGAAATATTGGAAAAAGTTATTCCTTTCGTTAAAATTATTTAAGACTCGGCAATTTAGAAAATCACTGGTGGATCAAACAGATTTTATTTATTCACGGAAAACACATCTGGAGCCAAGCAGCAGTCATTAATTTGAATTGTTTTAATTTATCCCGAAACAATTCGACTTATGGAACGATATACCCATTTGTTTTATCGTTTCAGGAACTATAAGTATTGCATACTTTTAAAAACCAGTTGTTTAGGAAAACAAATTCAGAAATATTCTTCGAATTGTCTTTTCAAACTTTGTGATAGTTATTGTTTTTACTGTAGAAGTAGCCATTAAAAACTGCATTGAGGTGAATGTGCGTTGCCCAATGCCAAGCAATAGATTAATTAATTTTGAAAAACATATTTGGTTTGAAATTCGTATTAACACAAAAGAAACCGAAGTAGAAATATGCGCGCAAGACAAGGCGCGTACGATTTAGTCCTACGCGTCCATTGACTGGACGTTAGTCATCAATTTTCAACTTGAAAATTTCCATATGACGTCACGTCATAATACAATTCGTATTTCATCACGTTCAGCACAACAAAATGCAACATATTTTCGTTTTCGTTCGAATTAAATACGCGCATTTAATGTAAATGTGTTCATGATAGGTAAATATTGTTTACAAACATCAGCAGCACATGTAAATCGTGTGGGAATCCATTTCAAATAACTTGTGTTCTGCGTTTTTTTTTTTGTCCGCCGACGACGTCACCCGAGTAGGAAATCTAAAGCAATCGATCCTCCATTATTTCTCATGCAACTGACTCGGTCGGATACGTTTTCCAGAAGCTTTGTTTTATTTATTCGTAAAAAAAGACACGATCTTATCGCTCTAGTGTTGCAATCCGATCTGAGGGATTGGCCCTCGAACTTTTCAATCGGATCCGTTTGTTTGTACTGCGAGATCAGCGACGTTCACGACGATTGACACTATTTGACGGAGTCGCATTAACATCTCAATTAACTTATCGAAAGCCCACTCGTAGAAGAAGTAACCAGTCGCCGCAAAATTATACGCAGACGTGCAGTCGGTAACGAGGAAAAAACTGCGGCTTAATTCAAATGTTCTTACAACGACACACGAGCACAGAACAGCCGAATTACAGCACGCTCGGATAAACGCTTTAATATGGAACGAGCGGAGGAAAACCATGTTATAACTTATATAGAACAGTGCACACGCACGATGACCGTTTCCAGTGGATTTAACAGTAACATTGCGCGCACGCGCGTGGATTTATTCCTTTGGAAACGTACCGATAGCTTTTGCCTAAACAAATTAATTGCACCATTTTCCTGACGTTAGCAGTGACGCTTTCGCTTAGCACGGAACGAACACTGCGAGAACATGTTAATTATTGATATTCGTTCCCAAAGAAAATTCAATAAACAGCACAACGTCTAAATGCGAAACACATTTTCTATGATGTTTAGGCACAGCGCGATTACTATTCACTACGAACACAATAATGTACACACGTTGTTCGTACAAGCTTAATCGATACCGCTGTGGAAAAGCGAATTTCTTTTGCAGACACCCGCAATTATTTATACTGATACAATCAAACATTACAAGGAGAGAGGACATGGCGAAGCGCCAAAAGGAACCCAGCGATGATATCGTACGAATGGAAACCATTGGTCAAAATCTCAAAAAAGTAATTTATATAAAGTCTCCGGCAAAAACCGCAGTCGGTTTATGTTCGGAATAAAATATATTTGGTTTCGATAGAGCGATAACATTGTGTATTCCCTGATCTAGTGTCCTTTAAAAAACTCGTAACCGTCATTTTTTTTATTGAAATTTGCAAACAATATATCGTCTAACATTAATGAATACGGTCGCTAAGCAAATTAATATACAAATTTAGTCGTTATTCACTCGAAATTGCTCAGTACGTTCATGAATTTGTGTAAGTAATCAAACAAAAACCACTTGATGAAACGCAAAACTTTAGAATTTTATTAAGGACACAAATATTAGTGCGTTTTTATTTTTTTCCGAAAATTAAAAACAAAATATTATATTCAATCGGAAAATATCATTAATTCGAATAAAATAAATTATTTTTTTTACATTATTAAATATTAAAATGCGTTTGACGATTGAAAACGATTTGTAAACACGAAAATCTTGGTAAACACAATATTCCAACGCGATAAATTGGAAATAAAGAAAAAAGTTAAATAATTGTAGGAAAAATTATTATTTTTTTTTATCCTTGAAACTCACATGACCAAATTTCGATTATATGACACGCATAATCCGTACGTTTACTACACTTGTGATGATTCAACACGCTATCTAATCGTTTTGTACTAAATTTTTTTTTATTTAAATCAATAGGTACACACAACCTCAGCTGAGCAAATAGATACTTTCTCTCGTTCATTAAGGTGCGTTCTAATAAAACAAGTAATTGTCATTGTTAAAATCTCCTACAGTACCTTGTGAGTATTACAATGATATGCAATTAAAGCTAATTAAACGGTGTTGTGTAATAATATCGACGGGATGAAACTATAAGTTATTAATAACGACTTAGAAGAACGCTGTCAACCAAATGCTTAACGGACAACATTTGAAGTTGTCCTATTACACGATATTTGTAACATGTGCTGTTATTATTGTCTACTTTACTATAAAACCCAACCTTTACACGTGTACATTACAAATATCTAAAGTTCAACTTCAATTCCCTGTATTTGTGTTGAGCTCGTTGCTCTTTCACTTCCCGCACCTTTTTTACCCCTAATCCTTTCCCTCCAACCTGAAATATCACGCACATTATTTATCTCGCCTCAGATACCAAAGACCGCGCAAAATTCATCTCCTCCGTCGTGCCGTTGTTCCGGTCGAACGCGTTATTTTGCCAACAGTAACATATTTATTCAATAGACTAAGATAGTGAACTCGTTCTATTTTACTCAAGAGTTTGTTGGTTAATCGCCACATTCACCTAAAACACTTTCAACTTCAATGAAAAAAATATTACCCAATGTAAAACGTTTGAAATCGTTATGACAATTTAAAACACGACAGAATACCGAAAAAAATTAACAATGTGTCAAAAATCCATTTCGGATAGTTGATTTCTTTACGGGATACCAAAACAAAATTGAGATTGAAAACCTAACGTGACAAGTTAAAAAATTCAAAACACTTTTTTTTTCATCCAAAAGAAAAACTTCTACCGCCTCTGTCTCTATGTGAAAATCCTAGATGTTAAACAAGATAAAGAAAGTCCCTTACGAGCAACTTTTTTCGGAGAGCAAATAAAAAAAACCTAGAAGATAGAGCTATTAAGTTATCTTAGTTTGTACAAAAACACGCATGAAAAGTTTTTCCTATTGATAAAACAATTTCGCTAATGAGTGAGCTTGAACTTCTGGTGCCAAAAAACAAAACAAAATATTGTTAACGAGAAAAATGCAAAAAAGTTCGGAATTGAGCTTATAATACATGTTTCATTATATTATAGTTGCACAAGTTTTGAAATTATTTTTAATTATTTAAAAAAACATTCAACAATGTTAACAAATGTTTTTATGAGCTATATACAAATTTATCAAAATTGTTTTTTAATTTTTACATTGAGCAACAAAAGAATTTATGAACATTTTCGATTAGATGGCCCCCAGTGTTTCAGTCAAGGCTCTCTCATTCTCAGTTTGCCCCAAAGAGTTGATGACATTTTCTTGATGCCAGAAGTTAACATTATTCTGAAAATGAAAAGTGAAACTAAAAAGTTTAAGACTGAAATAGTTATATAAATATTTCAAAAAAGAATTCATTGTTGCAAGAAAAGTTTTAATTACAAAAAAAAAAAAATGAATTACTTTCACACGTGAAAGTTATTAATTTTTTTTTTTTTTTTTTTTAAACCGCGATTTATATCGTTACTCATATTTTATATTAAAAAAAATAAATAACTGTTAACTTTTGAACGTTGAAACTTGATTAGCTTAGTACTCCAAATCCCCACCCGTTATGAATAAGTCTTGAATATATACTTGGAAACATAAACTTGGTATAAATTAAAATTTTAAAATTAATGAAATTATTCTTACGGTGAAAATGAATATAAAGGAAAATTTGAAATCTTCGAGTGATAATATCTGTAAAATTCAGCAGTTTTTCTGTTGATTTTTATTTTATTGTGAATTTAAAAAAATATTTCTTTGTAGTTTCCGATCCTTAAGTATAAACTTAAAAAGTAACTTATCGAAAAATAACAATTATGTTTAAACAAGAAAACTGCAAAAAAAAAAAAAAATTATTCGGTGGATAATATTATACCATCAAAATAGTGCAATAAAATTAAAAACATTGTATTAATTAAAAATTCTTTACACTTCCCTAAGACTTTTATTAGGTTCCACTACTGCGACAACAACCTAATTATTGAGCGTAAAAACATTATAATAAAATAATAGTAATAATCGCTTTACAACAGGGCAGCCGGTGGTTCGCTCGAGATATTTGCGTGGGCTCGACTGAAGAGAAAGTGGTTCGCCCGGTCCACCGACGGCCACAAAGAATAAACCGGACGAGGTCGATGCGATTAGTATGTCCAAAAAATGTCTGAAATAGGTGATTTTTTTTCTAATTTACCTGGCCGCAGAACGGGCGTGGAGCATATCCATCCGAACTTAATCGCCGCCAAGAAGACCACAACTCCAGCTGCAGCTGTGGACGACAGCGGCCGCATGTCGGCGGCGTCCCGTCTTGTACGTTATCGTAATGCGAAGGTGGCGTTTTACGTGCCCTTCATAGTTTCTCGGCTACAACACAGCGATGGTGGCAAGTTTTTTTACGCGAGCGCATGTTTTCGCAACCCGCTGGACCAATACCATGTCGAGTGAACGTTGTATCATAGAGTCGTTCGCGGTCGCCCACGACGGCATAAAAATTCGCATGCCATTTTTCGAAAACGGTGGCACAACAGATAATATTATTCACACAAATGGACGTGAGTGAACGATATCTGAAATAAAAGTTAACTTGAGGATTTAAAGTAATCTTATTTACATGTACTAAATACAGTAGGCCGTGGGACGTGAAATCGCGATAATACGAGGCGCGACAACAACAACACGCTCAGACTTCGAGACAACTGAGTACACTGACTGAAGTAACAAAGAACGGCAGCAGAGTCGTGCTTGCAACAGCTGAGACGCCGCCGTTGCTGGGCATCAGAGCGCAGCACAAGCAACACGTGCACGCGTATTTCCCCACTGTCATCGTGGTGACAGTTCGTTAAGGAATTTTAGTGTGGCTAGAGTCNAGTGGAGACAGTTCGTTAAGGAATTTTAGTGTGGCTAGAGTCCGGATTAGTAAGCACTCAAAAAGCCTAAAATAGTGTGCATTTATGCATCAGAAAACTTCAAAATATGTATTAAACATGTTCTTATTTTTTTAAAAATATGCCCTTACCCAAAATATATGCATTTAATTTTTTTTTATTTCTTCCATAAATAATTCGACTTGATTATTTAATTAAATCATCAACTTAAAACGTTAATTAAAGAACAGTAAATAATTAAAAATATATATTCAATGAATAAAACAAATACTTGAATTCAGAATAATAAATACCGTTTGTATCAGCTGTTTCGTCAACAGCGATCCAAATATCCGAGTTGTCAATAACTTCTCTTATTGCAATAATAACATAATCATAATATGAACCAAGAAAATTTTTTCTTAATGTACTCTCGTCAGGAATATGCTTACCTGTATACTTCCCCAAAAAATTCTTGAATTCAGGAATTTTAAGTTTATTCCAAGGTATATTGTATACTACCAAAGCTGAACAAAGATCCTCATTAATGTTACCAGATTTCGATTTTGCATCGAATACAAATAATTGTTTTTTGTTTTCATTTGCTCTAAGTTTTAAAGCACTAATATGAAAAGCGGTATCAACGTGTTGTTGTAATTGAATTGTTTTTGAGCACACGATTTTTTTGTCACACTATTGACAAAACACTACAGAGCTATCCGTGGTAAAAACGATTTGGTCAGTTTTATTATAAAGAGCAATCCATGTTTTTAATAAAGTAGGTACAGAGCTACGACTTTTCGGCATTTTAAAATCTAATTGAATTGAAATATAAATTGTAATTTATAAATATAACATACGGTGAATAACATTTATTTCCCCAAAAATCGTAATGAATTAATAATTTCTATAGTGAAATAAAAATTAAATAATTAGCTAAATAAACTTTTATACAAAATATGCAAAAATTTTCAAATATTCAGTCATTTCTAAAATATGCATTTATATGCAAAATAAACTTTTTACTGTGCATTACCTGTTACATAAATCGTTCAAATTTTTTAATACCGTCGAAATGCATACACTCATTACAAATATGCAAATACATACAAACCCGGACTCTACTTATGATATTATGTCACCCAAGTTTTACGTTTTGATTGTACATACTTTTTCAGTGACCAGTTTCTTAAATTTTAACCCTAGTAATGGTTATAACACAATAATCGTGTTATGGTTGATTAAATTATTTTATTAGCCACCATAAATTTCAGAAAAATGTAGAACTGCAATGAATTTTAATATGGAAAAACTTTAATATTTTATTTTTAAATTTATTGTTTTTAAACTTAAAACTTTAATTAAACAGTACAAAACGAGGACAAATTATAGTTTGAGAATTAATGAAGCGGATTCATACCTCTTACAAAAAGCAAATTTTAATGCTATACCCTTAAAATCTAAAATATAGTTATATTTACTTTAATATATATAAGCTTATAGTTTTAATTACACTGTTATAAGCATTAACGTAGTTTGCATGTGAGCTGTGGGTTTAGCCCTCATAGAAATATTCATAGATCCTATTAATTGAATTTTTAGTGAGGGGACGATAAAGTAATATGTTCTTTTGTATACATTTAGAAAACAGAATATAGGACTGCATCTCCACAGGTAAATATTTCTATGTCCATGAGTGTACAAATGAAAAATTATGCACCGATTAAACAAATTTTTTATTTACTATTTATTATACAGAATGTTCAGTAAGTAAGGAAACGTGTTTTTATTGTTCTCATAGTTTGTAACAATTGACCTGTTTTAATTAAAATATATATTAATGTATACATTTTGTTAATTTATTGATAATTTCAATTACATTAATTTTTAAACGAATTCTAAAACACCGACCTTATTAATTCAAACTTACCTAGTTTTTCCCTGCACCGAAACANACCGACCTTATTAATTCAAACTTACCTAGTTTTTCCCTGCACCGAAACACCATTTATGAAAAAAATGTATAATAGAATCTTTAACAAACTCCAACGAGTTTAAATATTTTAGTGCTTGACAGGTATCTAACCTAATTGATGTATTCACGAACGCTGAAAAACGGTA